CCAGTCTTTGGAATTGTTTATTCACAAAGACAATAATTATAACCACCACTTATTTTATAATTTTCAAATCTATAACTATTAGAAAATTATAAAATTTTAGGATATTGTTTATATATGATAGTTCAATGAAAAATGCTAAAAAGTGTAAAGATTTCATTCTGTATAAATTATAGTAATTTACATTGATGAAAAAATCTTAAAATAAAAAGTGAATAGCAAAACAGGATGGACAAATACTACTTACCAATTCTTCTTTTTATTTATTCAATTTTTTTTGTTTTAAAATTACTGAATTTAACAATTTTTATTTCTATTGATAAATTATATTTAGAATAAAGTAGCATTAATATGTTATTGATTATAAATATAAATTAAATATTAAATATAATTATTTATAATAACATATATAAAGATTAGATAAACTTTTCTAATTGCTTTGATAAACTTGTGAAGTTAAATTAATTGAAACTTCCTATAAACAATCAATTGTTAAATTAGTGATATAATTCAATTCACAATTGTAATTTTTTCTTAAGAAGATGAAATTAATATTTTTGAATTCTAACAATTTACTCAAAAGTAAACAGTTTAACATTATTCATGTTTAATTTAATAATTATCGTTTTCAAAATTTAATAATTCTTAAAAGTATTCTTTTCATTAAATATTTTTTGATGTTATTACACTACACTTTTTTGTTTTACTTTATCTAATTTATTACAATTTGTTTGCTTCTTATTCGGTGAATTTCATGTAGTTGTTGATTTTCTTTTTTTTTATTTTAATGCATAATAGCTTAAATAAAGATACTCTAATCTTTTAATCTTATTAAAAACATAATTATTATAAAATATTTACAATGAATTTATCAAGAACCTTTGATGAATTATTTTTTCAATTTTCAAAGTATCTTCTATTTATTAATACAGTCTTACAATCAAAATCCCTTTATCAATATTGGATATCAATTTTTTAAAACTTTTTGTTTTATTTCTCATTTTTCCTTTCTCCCAACAACATACTCTATATATTTCTTAAGTTATTATAGATTTCAAATGACTGAGAAAGTTTATTAAATAATCGAAAAATTCTTCATAATTTTATATCATGATTATTACTAAATCAAAGAAACATAAACATGTTATTAGATAATCGTTTCATAAAAACAGAAGTTATTTATTTTTTAAAATACTCAAAGAATCCATTTAATATTATCAATTCTATTTTGAGATTTAAAAAACAATAATAATTCGCTTCATTTTTTCAAACCACTTAATGACCATCCTTGTATGAAATTTATGATAATACAATTGACTTTAAAAAATATTAAAAATAAATAATATTAATTATTTTAATATATTATAAGTTCAATATATGAAATAGACACCACTTAAAATTACAAATGCACAACCTTCTAAAATCTCTTAAAAATAAAAGATCAAAAAAATAAAATAAATAAACATTTATGAGCCACATTTATAAAGTCCTAAAAACTATTCATCCTTAAGTCTTTATTTCCAAAAAAGCCTTGAAAGTTGTAAATGAAATCATTTTTGATATTGTCGAAAAAATTATGTAAGAAGTCAGCATCTTAATTAAATTAAATAACATGAAAACTTTTCATGCAAGAGAAATTCTCACAGCAGTTAGATTATTATTTTCAGGAGATTTGGCTAGGCATGTTGTCTGTGAAGGTGCATTAGAAGTTTAAAGATATAGAAACTATTGATTTGACATAGATATTCCCATATTGCATAAAAAAATTTTAAAATGATTAATTCCAAACAAAATTAATTAATTGATTTATTTTTTCATAAATTCAATAGTTAAATCCCTCAATATTTTTGTTTACCTAAACTATATATATTAACTTAATTTTATTATGAAAAAGTAGCTAAAATTAAGAATATTTCTTAAAACCTAATTCAATATTGTAATTATTTTTATAAGTTATTGGACAAATATTATAAATTAGGATTTAAAGTTTCATTAACCAGAGAACCATTTATGAAAATATATAAGAAATAAATTAAGATATCAAATATATTAATGTAAGCAATTTAAATATTAGATATATTTTTTTATTCTGAATTGTTTATAAGTTCTTTTAATCTTATTATTATCATACTTAAAAATACTATGAGATTAGAAAATACATAAAAAATTTCTTTGAATTAAAATTTAATATATGACTCAACCACATTTTTCCTTTGGAATATAATTGGTTTTCAACTTCTGAAAATTATTTTTATTTATCATTTATTATATCTTCTGAACATTAAATCACCTGTTCATACGCTAATTATATTCTTGCAATAATCTATTTTTTTCAAAGTGAGGATAGAATTTTTTTTTTTCTTTAAATATTATTTAAGAAACCTCTTCAAATAGTTTTGAACTAAAATTTAAATTTAAATCCTTTAAACTTTTTTTCATTTCAATTTATAAATTTCCATATCTTATATTTATTAATGAATCATTTTAATAAATTATAAAAACATATATACCCTAAATTAATTTATATATACTAATAATTTGTTATATATATAAGATTTTTAGGGTCCAAAATATATAATAAGAAAAATAATGAATCCTATAAATCTGAGACAATTTCTGTTTGTTCACTAATTAAATGAACTTTAAAATTTTATACTATTTATATCATCATCAGCAAAAATATATTTTATCTAGCCTTAATGTTGTTACTTTAGTTAATAAAAGTATATATTTCTCATTCCTAGACGTCCTTTTCACGGTAGATATTTTAAACTGATTCCTATTAAGCTAAGCAAGAATCGCTTTCAAAGCTTCAATTTCATAATTCTAAATTAGAAGAGAATTTTTAGTAACCTTAACTTTTTCATTCAGTAATTAATAAGTTAGAAATTGAAATCAAATAGATACATAATTATTGTCCACCTCCTAGTTTATATTTTACCTTTTATTAAAACTATAATTCTAAGAACTTATGTAAAACAATTATGAATTTATACTTTAAAAGTTACTCATAGCTAAATTAATAATGAAAATAAATTTTTCATTTATATTATTTCTATTGCAACATCAATAAATCATTTAATTAAACTTGATAAAAATACTAAAGCTTTTGGCGGTGTTATAATAACAAATAAGTTTAACTTTTTTCATCAATATTTAAAGAGTAAATTGATTAGAATTATTTTATAGTCTAATATTATAGGAGATATATGTGAAGCCTTTTAATTAATTTATTTAATAATTACCACATGTATTTCTATTTTCTGTAATTGAATTGCCATTATGATACCATTCTTCCAAAATTTGAATACTAAAATACCTTTTGTTAAATATTTACAAAAAGTAAAACTTAGTTAAAGCAATAATATTAATTGCAGGAATTGCGTAAACTCAGAAATACACCACCGTCTACCTTTTATACTTTTCATCATTATTGTTGATGAAGTACTCAGATATTCTACAACTAAATCAAATGGAATCACGGAATCACCAAATTTGTTGAACTATTGTCACTTTTGTATTTGTATTTATGAACTAGGACTTTATCAACATATATGATAAACTCATTATTAATATTCTAATCATCAATCCTCTATAAATAACGAATTATTGTAAAAATCAAATTTAATCTTTAAACATACCTCCAAAATTTAAACTTGATATCAATTTATAATGTGAAGAAGCGACAGCAGATCAAATGTTTTAAAAATCGAAGTTTCATAATCAAACTAGTAATAGTCACCAAAAATAGTGGATCCTCCACAATTTTATTTCAAAAATAATCCTAATCCTATTAATTTCAATTTCTGCAAAGCACACATTCAAGATCAAGTAAATTTTAATTTTTCAAATGAATTTAATGAACTCACAAAAACATTAAATTATATTTTATTAGAACTTGGATTTTAATACTACTTGCTTATTAATATTAATTTCAATTTAAGCATTATACAGTTAAAAAGGTTGTTAGTATAATAATAGAGAAACCTAATTCAAAGTCATGATCATACCCAAATTTAAAAAGACTTCTTGATTAATAAGTTCTTAGCTAAAATATCAGATAACGGTAATATTCAGAAAAGGAATGGCTTGGAATCTCAATATCTATAATAATTTAAATACTTTATAAATTTCATTGACTTAATTGATTATCAACTAATCATTAGTTATTTAAATTTGTTTAGTCTGTTAATATGTCAGAATGATTGAAAGGACTTCTTTAATTCCATATTTTAGGATACAATTGAAGTATTTTATGATTCCATTTTTAGAGTGTGAAGAAAATCAAAAATTCTAATCGCAAATTAGCAATAAGTCTTAAATATATATTTAGAAAAATCCTTTAAATTGATGAACTTTTAGTTTTTCAAATTCTAAGATACTTCAATTTAAAGAGCATGAAAACCCAAATAAATAAGAAGATATTTATGAATAAAGAACTATGATTGAGTGAAATTGAATAGATTTATAAGTCGATAAACCTAAAGCCTGAAAATATTAGAAAAAGTTATTGATTGAGTATTTAAAAATTTTAGCAAAGAAATTATAAAGAGATAAACCATACTTAAGTAAACTTAGGAGAGGATGTAAAAATAAATGTAATAATGATTAAGACTTAAAGGATTAATGCCCAAATTACACAATAGTATATGGAACTAGTTGCTTAAGTAATATTGATATTCTTTAAAAGAATAGCAATTTAAAAATTGGTAGAGAATTTTATTCAACAACAAAAAACTTTACGAATGCTATATTTTAAATGAAATCAACAACAAATAATAATCAATATTGTTTCTAAAATGGTGATAATATTTATTTTAGCTATTTTTTCGAATAAAAGAATATTTGGAGGACCATTTGTAATGTTAATGCAGTATTTAAATTTTAGAAATAATCCAAATATAGAAGATCAATATGACCTAATAATTATTAATTTAATATAATTAAAGTAGAAAAATACCAATAAATAAGAAATAGTCTATGGAGATTACATGTTAAAATGTTCATGAACATGGATTTTGCAGAATTTAGGTTATGGTTGTAGTTGGATTTTCTAATTGCGAACTGAGACTGGAAGAAATGCTTGCATTCTAATTTGTGGTGATAAAATAATTGTTGGAGACGAAAATGTGATAATGGTAACAATGATCCTTTTGATGGATGTTTTAATTGTAGATACCAATGTGAAGAGAACTGACTGATTGTTTATTTGGTTACTGCTTTACTGAAACAAAACCATTACAAGAGTTTTGGGGAATACAAATAAACATAGTTGAATATAAATTAGCATAAGATATAGATTTTATTTAATAAACATGTACAATTTACTATAACATCCTTGCCTGTAATGTAATTATGGATATTATTTAAATGAATATATCTATTTTTGCCAAAATGTCTGTGAAGATTCTATCAATTAAAATAATGAATACTTCATTGATAGTGTAGTGATGAAAGAATTTTTTCCTAAACATATTTAATACAACTTTGATGAAAGTTAATCATCTAATACAATTTATCCAATAAAATGTGGAAATGGAATAATTGAAGGATTTGAATAATGTGATGACTAAAATCTTATCAATGATGATAATTGTAATAATCTATGTAGACTTTCTTGTTATTCAAGTTGTCAAATATGAATAAAGAGGTATTGTATAAAATGAATATTAAGAGATTTGGGATGTAAAACTATCTCTGTAGATTCTTTAATCGCAGGTAATGAATAATGTGATGATGGTAGAGTATCTCTTATTAAAATAAATTATAACTCGGACAACTATGATAGATGCTCTAATTGTGAATTAATTTATCATGAAAAATGTGATATAGAACTCAATATTAAAAAATATAGTTGTGCTGTCTATCACTAAGGTAAATATATAATCTACTAGAAGAAGAATGTAATTTTAAAAGAGGAAATGGATACATCGATTGCAAAATATAGGATGGTTATGTTTGTGGAATTTAACTCTATTCAATTTGTAAGAGATGTGGTTAAGATTTTATTTAATGCTTAAGTGTAGATAAGATCAATGTAGCATTGATGGTTACTATCCTGTAGATATTAAATGTTTATAATGCGATTTGAATTGTATTACTTGTAAATTGCAATCAAATTTATAAATTATGATGCAATGTGTTTTAGATCTGATTAGTAGTGTGATGATTATAATCTAAATGATGGAGATGGTTGTCATTATCTATATAATCTAGAGTACTCAGGTAGTAGTATGAATCAAATGAAGTATTATCAATCCTGAGAGAATAATATGTATGAAATTTAATTCCTGAATAACCTTTTTAATTTAACGCAACACTGTTAATATAACCAGATATTTAATCAATCCCTGTTATATAATTTTTCAATCCTCACTTTTATTTAACAAGAATTTCTCTTCTATTCTAAGGTTATTGTCTTTCTTGTAATTTTTATTCCAATTATATCATCTTATTCTTATATTATTTATTTATTATTATTCATAATACTAATATTTTATTTATGACATCTTGTGTCTCACTATTCTTACTCAATCATATTCTAAATCTTTTTGTAATTCTTAAAAATCTTTCCTATCAAATCTTATTTTAATTTTTAAATATCCTTTCTTCTCTGTTATAATTCTACTCTCCCTATTTGAGATAATATAAAATTAGTTCCCTTAAATTAGAAGGATCATTATATTTACTATTTTTATACATATTTTGAATAGCTAAAGTATATAGTTTTATTAAGTTTAAAGGGATTGATCTTATTCAATCCTTATTAACTTAGATAATTGATGTCCTTGATAATTAAATTATTTTAATCATAGTATTCAATTAAAATAAAACAAATGCTGTTATTTTGACTTAAATAAGAAAAGTTTTGTGAGAATTATAATTGACTTTAGAAATTAATTTACAATTGCTAGTAAATTAGTGAGTCAATCATCAGTAATCAAAATTGATAATTTAACTAATAATTTAATCTATTACTTGAGTAAATCATTTGAAATGAATGATTTCTCTTTTAATTTTATCAATTATCTCGTTCCAACATTATTTCATTAAAAATCCAATTAACCTAAACTTTTTTAAATTTGATCAAATCATAATTTCATCTTTTACTTTTATTAATAATATATAATCTGATTAAATTATTAAATAGATACGCAATAGATGATCCCTCTTTAGAGAAAAACACGTTAGAAAATCCTAAAATTTTGACTGCAGATGCTGTTGTCATCTCAAAATATAATAATTGTGGCTTCTAGATCAAATAAGATTTATTAAGAATTCAAGATATCTATGATTAAACCTATACACTTATATGAATTGTATGACTAATGGAGAGGCTAGATTATTTATTGATTGTAAAATTGTTGAAAATGAAATGTATTTATATTTGTAAATAGTATCTTGAAACAATAATTAAACAATAAGATGTTATGGTGTATTTGAAGAATGTTTCCAGGATTTAATTTTCAGTATTAAGTATGGGATAATAAATTGAATAATAATTGCACAAAAATGTCTTGGTATAAATTATTAATGTAAAACACCATTCATAATAATAAACTATTCATTTGAGTATCTAAGTAGTAAGGAAAAATCCTACTAAATTTTAACAAAGTGTATATATGGATAAATTAAGTAGCACTTCTATTATGATATTATGACCTAAATTAACCCTTAACTCTTTAACAAAGAAAGTAAATTATTCTGGGTTCTTACTAAGAGACCTTCAATGCCAATAATTTCTTGTTGAATTTGCTTTCAAATTTTTTTAAGTTTTTCTCAATTATAAAATAAAAATTGCAGTATAAATTTCACTTATTTAAAATGTTAAAACATTATTTAGTAAAGACCTAATTCAAAAGAGGGTGATGAAACTAATCATCGTGCATCTATTTGACTGCTGCCAAAATCATAGAGTATAATATCTTATTGGTTAACTTGATGTGGAATAAATTAAAAGCACAGGGAGTAATTAGTGTAATTATAACATTTCTCTAAATTATGCCAGGAACGGTTACTTAAATATAGCTTATAAGATATTTTAGCAGTAATTAAAAATGGAATTAAGATTAAAAATTATTTAGCAATTAAAGTATCAATAGGAGTAGCTGAATAAAAATATTAATATCTTTCTAACTAATTTAAGTGGTTGTATAATTTTCTTCATGTTTGTACAGTAATGTATGATTCGTTAATCCTTCTTATCAAGTAATTTTGTATTCATAGGTATGAACAAAAGTCTTCAAATTGTCCTCTTCTGATATCCTCTAATGTGTGTTAAATCTATTATAATTATTATTATTATTAATTTTCTTAGTTATTTAAAAGCTGATGATTAATAGCAAAGCAAAAGTTACTGCTTATAAAATTATTCTTGGAATTACATTTTTCTTTCTCAAAACTACAATTTATTGAAAAAGAAAGTGAAACAGATTTAAATATATACAAAGCAACAGGATTTTTCTAGATAGGTTTGTTCATCAGTAGTGGTACTCGGAGTGCCTAAAGTACAAAAGAATTGCATCTGACTCGAAAATTACCCATAGGTATTTATATGATGGTGTATATGTTGATAATAAATAAAATTATAACTTCTGCTACAATTTAAGAGATGTGGGATGGCGATGTACCTTCCTAAACCATTTGTCTGCTTTATCAAATTAATGAGGATGCTTTGTTCATTCGGCATTGGATCACCTATGAAAATTTTAATTTGTTAAAAAAATTTTCTTAAAATGATGATATTAATATACAAATTTTTAATAGCAAATATCTAACTAAGTTTGAAGAATTGCTGTGCTTTAGTAAACGGGCAATATCACTTAAAGAATTTTTAATTTAAGTGTATATTTTCCTTAACTTTAGGATAACATTTTTCATCAAGTTAATTGGATATTGTTATCAACTTGAATAATAAAAAAATACCCCCAAATTATTTTAATGAAATAAATACTTAATTATTTTTTTATTTTTTAAAATTCTAGAATAAATTACTTATAAAGTCTAATAAAATATCTAAAATTACATTATTTTAATAGATGCATCACCTACCAAAATAATAACCATAATATTATTTAGGCTTAAGTTCAGCAAATTAGTTTAACTTGAGGTAACAAGTTAGTGGTCCAATAAATCATTTTCAATTCATTATAGAATTACAAAAATACTAACTTTATAATAATAGTAGCCTGTTTTATATTCCCTAAACTGGGGTTTATCAATTTACAAATATTAATAATTTAACTTCCTTTTTTATTAATTTATTTATTCTTTATTATTTCTACTTGATGATGTTAGTAGATGGTTTATCTACATAGCTTTCCTTGAAACTAAGCATTTAAAAAGGCACATCAAAAGAATTAATAAATAGCTCATATACAATAATTACTTATTTTTTATTGTTGTTGTATAAGTTGGATTAAATTGTCTGACCATCCTTCAAATTCTTAACTTTAAGTAACTTTTTTCTAAAATTTTACCCATTCATCTCTATTAATATTAAAT